CGGGAGGCGGCCCTCCGGCACTCGGGAGCAGAGCGCGCCCCTGCAGATCCCGAAAGACTCTCCCGCGCGCTCCGCTCGCGGACACTCGCTACTCTCCGTGGCACGGCAAGCTCCTCGGGCTTCTCTCGCCCTTGCGGCGGGCTGGCCCCTTTTGCTCTGCACCCTGTGTCACTTTCTCCCCCTGGGAGCCCCTCTGAGCCTCTCCCTGTGCTGTCTGCATGCCTGTCCTCTTCTGTCTCTGCCTTCACGCTGAGTCCCTGTCTCTCGATGCCTCCACTGTGTCTCTGTGGCTGTCTGTCATTCCTTTGTTCTGTCTCCTGCCATAGCTGGTAGGATTCCATGTGGCTTGGTCCCTACCCTTCCTCTCCCCTCAGAAGCTTGTGTCTCTGTGTCCCTTAGGGCCTGTGAGACCCTTCTGCCCAGGGCCATCTGGAGAGTCAGGACTGAGGCAATGGCAGTGCCCAGACTGTGGCCATGGGTGGCATGTCTGCTTGTGATCCTCCTGTCCTTGGGATTTGGCCTGGACACACTAGAGGGTGAGTCTCCCGTACTGTCTCCTAGAGCCCCATCTCCCTCCCAGTCAGCTGGGAGGCCGAACAACTGAGCTTCCAGCTGGAACACATCAATTTAGCTGCTGCTGTGTGAAGACTGGTGTTAGCTCTCAGAAGGACTTCCCATCAGGAAGAGCAGTTAGTTCCCTACGTGAGGGTGTTTTCCTCTCAGTTCCCCGGGAGGTAAAAAAGACCTTGAATGGAGATGCCCTCCATTCCCGCTTATGAAACCATGATCCCAATAGAGCCTGAATGAGAACTGAAATGAGGGAGGAGAGTCTTAGAGATCATTCCCAGGGCCCCTGAATGGGAAGTGGGCAGGAATGGAATGGGTAGCTGAGAACTAGGCACAATTAAGTGACTGAACCCACTGCGCAGGCAGGAGACGGAGACTCAGGAAATTGAGAGGTAAAGCTAGACTGGGGTTCTGAGCTCCTGCCTCCAGGGCCCTATCCCATGTTCCCCACCTTAGGGCCCATTCACTGGAGTGGGGTGGGGGCTGCTTTTTATTGATGCCCCAGGCCAGACAATCCCCATGTGTAGGGTTTGGGGTGGGTGGGACCATACAGACTAAGTGGCCCTCATGGGGGTGCTGGGGAATTGGCTGGGAGAAGAAAAAAGCTGAGGATGGAAGATTCAAAAGGGGAAGGATTAAGAGACTCCCCCTTCCCCATATCCACTGTTCCCTTCCAGCCTCCGGGGCTCAGGAATCCAGCACATCCAGGACTCCATGCCTGCCTGACATCCTCAGACTGGGGGCTCCCCGGGGCAAGGCAGAGTCTTCCCTTCCTACACAGACAAAAATGATGCAAATGGATTGGAGTAGGAGGTCCCTGAAGAGTCACAGACTCACCGCCTTCAAAGCATAGTCCCTCCCGGACACCACTTCCCCTCCTCCACTGTGTGCCAGGATTGGGCACAGAAAATGCCAGCCAGAAGCATGGTTGTCAGGACAGGAGCACGTCCCTGGGGGGATGGAGGGGTTGATGTTTGGTCAGGGGACCCAGATGTCCCATTCCCAGTGCAGCTCTGCGCAGGGCCATGCCCTAAGGGGAAGCAGGTGAGGGTTAATCTGTGAAGGTCTGAGATTTGTTTTTCCAAATGACTCCCATCAGGGGAGCCCTAGAGAGGCAGGGGGCATGATGGAAAATGGCATTGGGCGCCTGAGAGAATCCCCCATCTGCCTCGAAGAGCCTGATTGGCCTTCGCCTGGAGGGATAGAAGTGTTTTCTCATGTTCTCTCCCGCTTTTGGGTNCGCCTGAGAGAATCCCCCATCTGCCTCGAAGAGCCTGATTGGCCTTCGCCTGGAGGGATAGAAGTGTTTTCTCATGTTCTCTCCCTCTTTTGGGTATGTGCCTGTACCTGCACGTGCTCAGACACACAAACTCAGAGCTGCTGGGAGGAACTAAGCACAGGGCCCATTAAGAACAACAGGGAGGAGATGTGAAGTAAGCTCCAGGGAACCTGCCCGCCCCACTTTTACCCATCAGGGGATGGCCTGGTTATGTGTGACACTTGTGATGTTGCTGAGGGGTAGGTAGGAAGGGAGGGAGTAGAGGCTGCAGAGGTCAGCAGGACTTGAATGGCAAGTGGAAGAAGAACAGATTTGAATCTTCCCCAATGGGGAGCCATGGAAAGTATCCCTGGGATCAAGTGAGTGCAGTGACCAGGGAGCCCATTTAGGGGACCGGTCCTAGGTGCCTTGGGGAGAGAAAGGGAAGCAGGGCTGGGGCCCTGGAGAAGCCAGACATATTGGCATCCCCAAGGAGTGGACTTGGGATCCAGATGTCCATCCATTCAACCCATGGTTTCTGAATGCTCTGTGATTCCAGCCCTGAACAAGCCAGCTAACAAGGGCCCTGACCTCAGAAGACTTCCTCCTTGGAGGGGAGGGGAGGTCATATATATAGAGAGCAATGTTGAGGCAATGCCCCAGCTATTCTAGTGCGGGTACTGGACTAAGTGCTGCTGAGCCTGAAGGGAAAGTGATTAACTCATGGTTGGAAGGTGAGGGAAGGGGTAGAGGGCCTTGACCTGAGGCTTGCAAGACAAGAGCTGAAGGTATTACCAGGGTGAGGAACCCTTCTGAGGCTGTAGATATTAGTGGGGATGAGTTTAGTGTCAGGCTGAGGTATTTAAACTTCAACTTTTGGCAATGGGGAGCCATGGGATGTCCCTTCAAAAATAAACAAATGCAGGGACCTGGCATCTAAGCTCCCTTAGGTCTGGGAGAGAATTAGAGTGTATGAAGCTCAGACTACTGATTCCCAGTCAAAGAATTCATTCATTCACTCTTTCATTCATCAAATATTTATTGAGTGCCAATTTTGTGCCAGGCACTATACTAGGCACCAAGGGTACAGCAAAGACTATACAGAGATCCCTGCCTTCCAGAGCTTACAGTAAACAAAATTAATAAATTATATATTAGCAAGTGTTAAGAATTATGGAAAAAATAAAGTAGGAAGGGTCACAATTTTATTTTATTTTATTTCTAAATATGTCTTTGTTGATCTCAGGGAGAGGGAGAGAGAGAGAGAGAGAAACATCAGTGATGAGAGAGTCATTGATCAGCTGCCTCCCGCACACCCCCTACTGGGGATGAAGCCCGCAACCCTGGCATGTGCCCTGACTGGGAATTGAACTGTGATCTCCTGGATTCTAGGCCGATGCTCAACCATTGAGCCATGCCAGCCAGGCTGGAGTGTCACAGTTTTAAATAGGATGGTCAGAGGTGACATTTGAGCAAAGACTTAAAGGGGCTGAGGGAGCCATTTAGAGAGAAGAGTTTCTAGCCTGAGGGAACAGAAAGTGCCAAGACTTCAAAACAGAAGTTTGACTGGTTTGTTTAAGGTACAGTAAAGTGGTCAATGTGACTGCAGAAGAGAGAAAAAGGGGATGGTGACAGAGGCTGCAGAGGCCTTGTAGGCTGTGGTAAGGAATTTGGCTTTTAATCAGTGATATAGGGCCATTGGGATGTTTTGAGCAGTGGAGGAAGGTGATCCAACTTGTGTTTTGAGAAGATCACTCTGGCTCTAGAGTGGAGCATAGGCTGAAGAGGGGACAGGGTGGAGGTGGAGGGGCTGTTTGGAAGGCTGTTGCTGCAAATCCAGGAGAAGACGATGGTGAAAGCAGTGAAGGTGGTGACCAGCAGTTGGATTCTGGGTGTGCTTTAAAGACAGAGCCCACAAGGTGTGGACATGAGAAAAGAAAAGGAGTCAGGATGGTTTCAGATCTGGAGTCTGGTTGCAAGGAGAAAGTGGCAATCAATGGAGAAGGGGAAGCAGGGTGGGGGGGCTCGTCTGCTCATCTGGCAGAGCCCCCTCAAGCTGCCCGTGAGACCTCTGAGGCCCTTAGAGGAAGGCACCGCACACCCACAGCAGAACCTGGCTCCCACTCCATGTCTCACTCCCAGTATGATCCCCTCCTCCAAAGCTGCTGGGGTGGGATGAAGTGCTTGGCCCAAGCTGTACTGACAACTTCCTGCCCTTGTGCCCGCAGTGTGCCCCAGCCTGGATATCCGCTCAGAGGTGGCAGAGCTGCGGCGGCTGGAGAACTGCAGTGTGGTTGAAGGCCACCTGCAGATCCTGCTCATGTTCACGGCCACAGGAGAGGACTTCCGTGGCCTCAGCTTCCCACGCCTCACTCAAGTCACCGAGTACTTGCTGCTCTTCCGTGTCTATGGCCTGGAGAGCCTGCGTGACCTCTTCCCCAACCTAGCAGTCATACGCGGTGCCCACCTCTTCCTGGGCTATGCGCTAGTCATCTTTGAGATGCCACACCTGCGGGACGTGGGGCTGCCGGCACTGGGGGCTGTGCTGCGTGGGGCCGTGCGTGTGGAAAAAAACCAGGAGCTCTGCCACCTCTCCACCATAGACTGGGGTCTGCTGCAGCCTTCACCTGGTGCCAACCACATCGTGGGCAACAAGCTGGGCGAGGAGTGTGCCGACGTGTGTCCTGGTGTGCTGGGCGCTACTGGGGAGCCCTGTGCCAGGACCACCTTCAGTGGGCACACAGACTACAGGTGCTGGACCTCCAGCCACTGCCAGAGAGGTGGGCACTGGCACAGAACACAACTGGGGGGCACAGGGAAGGCAGGGTCAGATGGGCGGCTACAGGATGGTGTGGGTCAGTACTTTGCAGCCACTGTTCATTTTAATCTTCAGCCATCCTATGAGGCAGCTACTATTGTTTTGCAGATGAGGAAACTAAGGCTCAGAAAAGTTAAATAACTGATGTAGCATAAGGTAGTCAAGACATAGGCACAAGATGGCATCAGGTAGTAATGGAAAAAGTAAAGTGCAGGTACAAGGTGGGCATGGGGGTAAGAGTAGGCATGAGTGGGTACAAGACAGCAGCACAAGAAGCATTTGGGGCAGTGGTTAACTACAAAGCCAGAGGGCCTGGGTTCGAATTTCGGCTCTACCACTTATTGGCTGCTCTTTTAGCCTATCTGTGCCTCGCCTTCCTTATCTGTAGAAAGATTATAGGGTTCTTGTGAGGAATGAGCTGGCTGATAAAGCATTAGAGCAGTGCCTAGGCTGTGGTAGCAGTTCTGGTCCTGACAAAAGTGACCACAGCACAGGTGACCCAGGGTGGCTGGCAGCATTGTAACGGGGAGGTTGGAGGCTGGGTAGAAGAAAGGAGGAGGTGACAGACGGAGAGGACAGGCGAGGACCACTATGTGAGGTGGGATCTTTAGGAAGTAAGGAGCATGGAGAGGAAACAAAAGGAAGGGGGAGGAGAAAAGGGAGGGTAGAACCAGAAGGGGCTGGTGGGAAGAGGGGGAACTGAAAGTTCTAGGGGAGAGAAGGCCTTTCAGAGTCTGGGAGCAATCTGGGGTCCTTTCCAGCAGTTCCTGGGGATCAGCTTCCCTCACCCCTCAGCATCAGGGCAGAAGAGTAACCAGATCCCTACTGTATCCTCCCAGCCCGCCTCCCTGATGCCTCCCTGTTGGCTGTAAACACAGCTGCTGCACGCCCTCTCTCGTGTCCTCTCTCGTGTATAGTGTCAACATGCCCTGGCTGACCCGCACCACATGCACGCTCCCACAGACATCCAGCTGCCACTGTGCAGAGTTCCCAGGCTGCTGGTTCCCCAGCCCCAAACCCACCCACTTTTGCTTGGGACTGCCTCCTTCCCAGGGCAGAGAGCTGAAAAGGGAGGAGGTATGGACAGGGGCATGGGTGAAATGACCCACCTTGCCCTGGGCCTAGCTACTCAGGAGAAGCTGGCTGGTTCACCCTGGCACAATGCCCAGTGACGATCTGGGCACCAGGCCTAGACAGGACAGCAGGAGGGGGAGCAGCAGCCCTGATGGACAAGGTCACTGCTCTGGGATGAGTTCTGATACCCCTGACTAGGCACTGCGGGAGGTGGGGAGCCACAGAGAGGGGCCACAGTCCTTGTCCTCAAGAGCCCCTTTCTGAGGGAGAGTCAGCAACCAGTGTTATCTGAATTGGAGTGATTTGGGTTCAGACTAAGAGAGTTATCCCAGATGGAGGGGGTGGGGCCAGGGCCACAGACGAAAGGATACAGTCTCACACAGCACTCTGCCCACAGTGTGCCCCTGTCCCCACGGGCGAGCCTGCACAGCGGAGGGTGAGTGCTGCCACACCGAATGCTTGGGGGGCTGCAGCCAGCCAGACGACCCCAGTGCCTGCGTTGCCTGCCGCCACTTCTACTTCCAGGGTGCCTGCCACCAGGCCTGCCCTCCAGGCACCTACCAGCATGAGTCCTGGCGCTGTGTCACAGCTGAGCTCTGTGCCAGCCTGCGCTCTGTGCCCAGCCACGCCTCCACCTTCGGTATCCATGAGGGCAGTTGCCTGGCCCAGTGCCCTCCAGGCTTCACCCGTAATGGCAGTAGGTGAGTGTAGGGTGGGTGAGGGCACCCTTGAAGCAGTGAGAAGGCTCAGACTAGTCCAGGGCTCATGCCACACCCTCTGCTTGCCCCTGCAGCATATTCTGCCACAAGTGTGAGGGGCTCTGCCCCAAAGAGTGCAAGGTGGGCACCAAGACTATCGACTCCGTCCAGGTGGCACAAGATCTGGTGGGCTGCACGCACGTGGAGGGGAGCCTAATCCTCAATCTTCGCCAGGGCTGTTAGTACATTCTTCGGGGCCATACCTCTCCTCCTGGCTATACCCTTCCTCCTGCCACACCCCTTACAGAGGCCCAGCTAAAGCACCACTTCCCATTACCCTGGCTGAGGATCCCCCCTGCCCTGGACCCCATTTAGCCCTCTGCCCTGTGGATGCACCACTTTCACTGCCCCTGCTCCAGCCCTGTCTTCTCCCTCCCCAGACAACCTGGAGCAGGAGCTGCAGCACAGCCTGGGGCTGATAGAGACCATCACTGGCTTCCTCAAAATCAAGCACTCCTTTGCCCTCGTGTCCCTGGGCTTTTTCAAGAACCTCAAACTAATCCGGGGAGATGCCATGGTGGACGGGTAAGGAGTCAGAAACAAGCCTTTGACCAGCTCCCTCTATCACATCTTCACCCCTACACTCCCAAAACTGTGGTGAAGAGCATGGGCTCTGGAGCCAGCTCTGCTACTCACTAGCTGTGTGACTCTAGTACATTGGTTACTTAATTTCTCTGGTCCTCAATTTTCTCATCTGTAAAATGGGGTTAATATAACACTACTTATTTCTTAAGACTGTTGTAAATATTACTTAAATTGTTCTGTATAAAGCACTTAAAACAATGCCAGTATATACTATGTAAACTGCAGTTACATATAATCTCTATGGGTTGGCTATAATTGTTATCTGATCCTTTCAGCTGCAGAGCAAGACTGCCTGGGTTTGAAGCCCATTCCAACCACCTACCAGTAAAGGCCTATCCTTAATATTGCCAGGGTTTTTCAAAATAAAGACAATGTTTAAAATTCCCATCCAGGCAAGTGGTTCCTCATGTCTCCTGGCACACTGCCATGTACCCCCAGTGTTGCCCACTCTCCAGCTGGAGAGGCATAGCCCCATGCTGAGTACCACTCCTTAGCCTGGCATGTAGAAGGTGCTCAGTTAATGTGAGGTGAGGGAAGGAGGGAGACAGAACAACTGTCAACCCCAGTGATGAGGAAAAGACAGGGAGTGTGGGTGACTCCTGGTCAGTGGTATAGAGTTGGTGTGTATGAATACCTCCAGTGCACTGGTGAGAGTGGGTGGGTGCGCCCCCTCCCCTGTGCCCCCAACACAGCCTTTCCAAGGGGAGCCCATAAGGCTCCTCCTCCTCCCCACCCTTGCCCCATCTCCCGTTTGGAACAAGGTCCTCTCTGGCCCCCAGGAACTACACTCTGTACGTGCTGGACAACCAGAACCTACAGCAACTGGGGTCCTGGGTGACTGCCGGGCTCACCATTCCCGTGGGTAAGATCTACTTCGCCTTCAACCCACGCCTCTGCTTGGAGCACATTTACCACTTGGAGCAGGTGACCGGCACGCGGGGCCGGCAAAACAAGGCGGAGATCAACCCCCGCACCAACGGAGACCGCGCCGCCTGTGAGGCCCAACCCCCATCCCGAGGGGGGAGCACACGACCCCAAGAAACACCCAGAAGCGCAGCCGGGTGGGAAGGGGCGCTTGGAGGCGACAATGTGATAACTGCTCTTCAGAGGCGGTGTTGGGGGTGGGATGCCGCGGGGTCAAGGTCGGGGCTTGGAAGTGGGCGGCTCCAGAGGATGACCACGCGGCTGAGGGCGGGCGTTCGCCACTCGCCCCGCCCAGGCCAGACCCGCACCCTGCGCTTCGTGTCCAACTTGACGGAGGCCAACCGCATCTTACTGCGCTGGGAGCGCTACGAGCCGCTGGAGGCTCGCGACCTACTCAGTTTCATCGTGTACTACAAGGAGTCGTGAGTGCCCCTGCGGGGACAGAGCCGGGCGGGGCCAGGGAGGGGACCCAAGGAGCTGGGCAGAACCGGGGCGGGGTCATCCTGACCCAAGGCAAAGGAGGACAGGCCCACGCAGGGCTATGGGGAGTCAGGCAGCCAGGACCCCCAGGGCGCACTCCCTGTATGTAGGGCCCACCCACCTCTGGCTCGCTCCTCTTACCTTCATCCCTCCGTGTCGCATTTTCACCTCACCTAGTGAAATGAAAAGGGGAGTCAGGACTTCTGAGAGCCAGGGAGAGGTGCCCCGCTGGGAAGGCTTGGATAATTAAACTTCAATTCACTGTGCTAATATTCTATACTGACCACATGCTCCTGCCCCAGCAGCGGTCTGGGAGTACCCACTAATTTGGCCAGCTTTATATGCAGCTTGGCCAGCATTTCATTAAAGCCTGACGAAGGAAGGAACCAGGGACAGCCAAGGACAGGCTGCTCTTTGCTTTGGAGAGTGTACCGACCAAAGCAGGAGGGATTGTGCTTAGGCCACAGGAAGCATTTGGGATGGCAGGCTGGGGGGGCAGGGGTGAGGGGTACTCCTCCTATGGTAGAGAGAAGATGGGAGCCACCTGGCTTAGAAGCATTTCCTGCAAATTAAAATTAAGAGGTCTTAGCTGTTCACTAGCACAGGCCCTGGCCTGGGAGGAAGGGAGGGAAGTCAATGGTGGGAGGCTTGCTCAAAAGGCCAAAGCTCTCCTAGGCCTCAGTGGTAGGTGATGGTCTCTAGCATGGGGAGCTGGAGAGCTTGTTAAATACAGATTCCTGGGCCCCACCCCCACAGATTCTGATTCAGTTAGTCCTGGATAATGCCCATGAATCTGCATTTCTAACTAGCTCCCAGGTAATACTAAATCTTCTGGTCCCTGAACCATACTTTGAAGAGTGCTAACATGGATTGCAATGTAAATGGCACCCCTTGGCTTGTGCAACTGACAATCTGCACAACTATACGCGTGCCTCTGGATTCAAGGGGCAGAGTATCGAAGAGCTCCTTCAGGAAGCTCCCCACCATCACTGCAGGCTGTGCCCCCTCAGAGACAGATACTGTGGATCCTGCCTCAGCTCCAGCTCTAAGCAGACCCACTCTGTGAATGCCACAAGGCACCTACCCCAAAGGTGGACCCACATCTGCTTCTGGATGCCTCATGCATACTGGAAGAAGAATGGCAATAACAGTCTTGGGATGATTTAGGGAGGAGGGAGCTGCTAGAAATTGGGGGTGGGGTGTTCAGCCCATTCCAGAATGCCACGGAGCACATAGGTCCAGATGCCTGTGGGACCCAGAGCTGGAACCTGCTAGATGTGGAGCTGCCCTTAAGCCGCAACCAGGAGCCAGGAGTGACCTTGGCTCCCCTCAAGCCCTGGACACAGTATGCAGTGTTTGTGCGGGCCATTACGCTGACCACTGCTGAGGATAGCCCCCACCAAGGAGCCCAGAGCCCCATCATCTACCTCCGAACCCTGCCTGCAGGTAGGCCTTTGGAGGGAGTAGGAGTTAGATGCCTGGGTCCTAGTGAGAATGGGGGAACCCAGGCACCAGAAATAGAGATGCTGGGTCACTGAACACTTAGCCCACAGAGGATGGGAGGCCAGATGCTTGAGTCCTAGAAAGAGCAGAGAGCAGGCTCTGGCCAGGTAGCTCAGTTGGTTAGAGCATCCTCCCTATACACCAAGGTTGTGGGTTTGATCCTGGTCAGGGCACATACAAGGATCAACCAATAAATGCATAAATAAGTGGAACAACAAATCTCTCTCCCCCCCCCCTTCTCTCTCTCTCTCTAAAATCAATCCATAAATTTAAAAAAAATTATCCCTGGCCGGCGTGGCTCAGTGGTTAGAGCATTGGCCTGTACATGGAAAGGTCTCAGCTCGATTCCCAAGGGCACATACCTGGGTTACAGGTTTGATCCCCTGTCCAGTGGGGGCGCAAGCAGGAGGCAACCAATCAATGTGTCTCTCTTACACCAATGTCTCTATCTCTCTCTCCTCCTCCTACTCCTCCCTCCCTCTCTTTCAATAGAAAAAACACCCTTCAGTGAGAATTTTTAAAAAAAAAAAGAATAAAGGGCATTCGCCCAGATCCTAGGGAGACTGTGGGTGGGACAGCGCAGGGGAATAACTGAGCCAGATCAAGGGCCCTTGGGGCACAAATAAAGGACAAACTGCTCAGTTCTAGGAGGAGGAGGTTGAGAGTCACCTATTCCTTGGGACAAGTGGGAGTTGTACTCAGAGAGGGGGAACAGACAGTATTTGAAAAGGGATCTGCAGCTTCTCAGTTGTACCCTTACTCACACCCCCAGCGCCCACGGTTCCCCAAGACGTCATCTCCACGTCCAACTCCTCCTCCCACCTGCTGGTGCGCTGGAAGCCACCGACCCAACGCAATGGGAACATCACTTACTACCTGGTGTTGTGGCAGCGTCTGGCAGAAGACAGCGACCTCTACCTCAATGACTACTGCCACCGCGGTGCGCGGGGAAGAGGCCTGGGAGCGGCTGGGGCACCGGGCGTGCGGGCTGCCGCTCTAACTCCGTCCCTCCCTGCCCACGCGCCAGGCCTGCGGCTGCCCACCAGCAACAACGACCCACGCTTCGACCACGAGGACGGGGAGCTCGAGGCGGAGATGGAGCCCGGCTGCTGCCCTTGCCAGCACCCACCTCCCGGGCAGGTCCTGCCACCGCTGGAGGCGCAAGAGGCCTCGTTCCAAAAGAAGTTTGAAAACTTTCTGCACAACGCCATCACCATCCCCAAGTGCGGCGCCGCCTGGGCGGGGGCGGGACAAGTGGGCGGGGCCTGGGGCGTGTCTTGGGTTTGCTGGCGCGGCCCGG